GTGTGTGTGTGTCTGTGCTGAAGCTGGGTTGGCAGGTTCTTCCACAAAAAGATTGAGTAGTAACGGAGCTTTTGGAGGAAAGGTTGCCCTGGAGTAATAGAAAACTTTATTATAGTTTCCAGCTCCATAATCTGTGTGTGTGTGTGTATGCGTAAATGGAGGCATATTCATCTACAGACAGCCATATTTCCCCCTTTCGTTAATTTCCCCAAATTGTTGTTAAACTGCCTTAAATGGACCCAGGGGAAAAGAGAGAGTCCTGCTGTCACCTCACACACGCTGTCACATCAGTCTGCACACAAACACACTACAGACTGACTAATGGGTGACTTCATCCTACCCTATCATTACATAGTGTTGCATAGACAATCATGTACTACTTCCTATGTCTGCACAACACAAGTTAATACAATTATCTCATGCTCTTTATACTCATATATCAAGCTAGCCCCATACGTGACCTTGGCACTCCTCACACTCGATGACTCGCTCACACAGGCTTATGAGTGAAGAAGACAGTGGGGTTAGTGTTTGAAGAACGTTAAAGTTTCTGAATATCTGGCACAGTTTTGGGATTTAAATGTTGGTTGTGCCCTGGGCAAAGGTGTTCTAATCTCAGACAGAGAGTTAATATCGGTGCACTCATGAAAATACGTTGAAAGATGCAAACAGCTTACAGAAAACACGGGGTGTGACTCTGCCGTGGTATACTGAATATGACCATACATTATCTGGTGTACAGTATGTCTTATGTCGACCTTTGAATTTCCTTGACTTCAAGTTTTGTGTCCTTTGCATCTACTGCGTTACATAGCAACACAGTCAGTTTTTAAAGCCTAGCCAACAGAAGGATTTACTCAGAACCACTTTCAGATGGAAAAGAAAGATAATGTAAACAGAGGAATTACAAGTGTTCATTTAAACACTCAGATGAGCAAATGAAGGTAGGCTCAGGAGTGAGACGAGACGGTGCGCCTGTGTATGTTTGTGATACATCACTCCCTCCCTCTGCAGCCCATCAGTCAGCAGCGTTGCCACCTTGCAGTTTGCTCCAGTTGCTGGGCTAATTTATCTGTGATCACTGACAGGAAATAAGTACACAAAGCTCCTAGGTCTGCTGAGAAATGAGGCCAGTGTGGTAGTAACTTAAACCTGCATTATTTTTTGTGGCCAGCAGGTACAGGTCAACTGGTAGCAAAAAGACCTTCGCTTGTATTCAGCTCAGTTGGAAATTTGTATTTATTTATTAGCTCAGTAAACAGTTTCCTAATGAGTTTATGATCTCAATCTGTAGTTTTAAGTCTTCTTCCATGGAGCTTGATGATCATTTTGTAAATTATGATCTCCTTAGAGTAAAATGGCCAATAAAGCAGGGTATGCTTTAGGGTGTGACTACCTTGTGATTGACAAGCCATTCTCAGTGAGTCTGTCAAGCATACCACACAAAACTAGGCAGTGCTGATCAAGTATAAATCATAATTCAGTTACTGCATTGCCTATTTCTTGCCTAAATGTTTTCAGAAACATATGTGTGTGACCAGGTAAACCACCAATGTTTCCTGCTATAGAGAGGTTCAACCAAAGCACAGCCAATGAGCGCAATCACAGACATGGCGACGGCCATAATGCCAAACTTGACGCTTCAAAGCAGAACCCGACAAACCAATCACAACACGACAGTCACGACAGGTTCACACTTGGCTGTAATCAGCAGCTCAGGTGTTTTTTTCAATTACAGTCAGCTAATGGCTTAAACTTTTTACATGATAAGTGCCCTTAGGGGCAAATGAGCAGCCAAGTCTGCAGGCCAGCCAAGTGTTTAACCTCTAGGCTGGCCAAAATGAGGCTCATGGGACAAATTTAGCCTAGTCTAAAACTAATTGTGATGTTTTAAGTCTTCCAAAAATGTATATTAGTAGTAGCAGTATAGTTTTAGAAGCATAGTATTTTAGTATAGTAGTATTTTGAGAAATGAATTCCTGCTGAATCCCATTGGTGCAAGCAAATATTTAAACACAATATTAGGCAGGAAGTTCTGTCACAAATGTAAAACAAAGGACATTTATTGAGGTTAATGTTCCCTTAAATTCTGTCATGCTGGCACCATTAGGTTCCTCACAGAGCTGCTCCTTAACTGTTCCTTCAAGAGAGATTAGTTTCTCTCCCCACCAGGACAGCAGCAGTTTGTTTCCTCTATCCAGCTGTAGAGAGACAGAGAGGAGTCGGCATGTATTTATTTAGGACGGGCGCTCCAGAGGAACACTGAGGTTTTAGACAGCAGTCAAAACCTCCGGATTTGCCCAGCCTGTTCGGTGTGAGATTGTGTGTTTTATACTTGGCAGGACAACAGAGAAAAAGTCATGTGAGAGGGCAGCCAATTCCTCCCTACTCATTAAAATAATAACTCCTGCATGTTTCAGTGTGTGTGTGTGTGTGTGGGTGTGTGACAATACCCCAGTGCCAAGCAGACTTCAGGTGCATTAATAATGTTATCCCCATGGCATTTTACATGGATTTGAGTGTTTTTGCAGTCTGTCTTTTTTTTACTACAAACAACCAATGCACCAACAATACAGACATTTGCTTCAGAAAGCTATCAACATGCACCACCTGCATGTTATTATGTGTTTTTTGGTGATTTTGAGACGGGAATGTGACTAATGTTTTCCTTCAGATTTTTTCCCTCTTGTCTCTTACTGGAATTTGGGAATAGTTACATTAGAATAGTAACATTTTGTCTTCGAAGGTGTAGTTAGAATTTTTGGTAGACAACACTTTTTTTGGCTTTATTGCAGAGAGTTAAATGTGAAGATTGATTTAATCTACAATATAAGTCTAGGTGTAAAAAGAAAATTTCACCATTTCACAGGTAGTGGCGATATTTTATGGCTGGTATCAGCAACCCAGAGTGTCTGTTACCTGGTGAATTGTAGTTTATACGCCCTTTTTTATATGGAATAACAACCTGAGTAAATGTGTCAATCTTCTAGAACGAACCCACATCTGTTCACATCTTTCCACAGAGTTTGTATGTAACAATGCCACATTTTAAAATTTGCTTCCACTTTCTGCATTAACTTCAAATCACTGCTGCAGACATACATAAACACGTTCATTTGTGTGTGTTTTGAATGTGTGCGTCTGTACCTCGCTGATGATACCCACGGCACCATGGATTTTGGCCACGTGACCCAGTAGAGCAGGCCATTGTTTTCCCACAATCCTCAGCGCTGGCAGAAAGCTGACCAGTGAGGAAGGGCTGGCCTGGGACACGTCCACGAGTGCGCCCAGTAGGGCCTCAGTTAGGGATTGGTCTCCTAGATAACTGACTAGTGCGGGAACCTGAGGGCTCAACATCTGTAAAGGTAAGAAGAAACAAAGACAGAGAGGTTATTCATTATTTTTGATTATAGCGGGAATCCTGACACCACTCACTAACAAACAGAACCAAACAGAGACTTGATGTGCCTTTAATGAAGGCAGGAGGTGAGAGGAGTGACCTTGGAGCGAGATGAACCGACTGCTGACTACTAATAAACAAAAGCTTGACTGTAGGACTGTCTGTCTATCTTCCTCCTCATTATCTGGACTGGTCACACTGGACTGCACTAGACTGGACTGGATCAGACTAACAATGCCCACCATTGCCGGCCCCCCTGCTGCTACGTTTTGAGTCATTTGTTCTGAATAATTTCAAAGTTCCATACAATCTTTTTAGTACCACATCACTTCCAGGCAATGAATATTAGAATGCAGAGGATTTGGTAACAACCGCGATGATTGCCGCTACAATCACAACAGAAATATTTTGTGCATCTGTGTGGGGGGTGGAGATTAGAATAACTCCAGATGGCTTGTTTTTGGTCTCCAGTGCTTCACATTTGAGTAAGAATATCTTTGTTTTACCACCATGTGCTCTGGTTGCTGGTATGTGGTACTTTCCCCTCATGTTGAACACTAGCAGCTCTGCTCCAAGATATGCATGATTAAGGGAATTCCTAATCAGAAATGTGCACATGCATGGCTCCATTTCCTCACTTCCAACTATTTCAACATGAGCTCATTACAGGGTATAGCAAAGTTGAATGTCTGATTAAGACTCTTGGCAGAGATGTAACCAAAAAGCCTCACACATACTTCACTGTAAGACAATGCCAAGTTAAATATGCCACAGAGACTTGATTTAGTTGGACAGTCCTTTATTTTCAGATAACTCCACAGTCTGAGGTATTGTAGCTACCTCATTATAATTTTAAATAATAGGTGTTTTAATTAGGTGTTTCAGGTCCATGGCTTCCTGAAACAGTTATCCAAGGCTGACGAAGATAGTGCCAACAAAAAACTTTAAAGAAGTATGATGAAATATACTGTAATTTGTATTTAGATTGCTGGGAAAGTGACAGTATAAATGCAGTTATAAGAATAGTTTGATCTACCCACACTGTGATTTATTTCTAACACAAAACTACAAAAACACTCACAAGGGGATGTTGCTCGGCAACCATTTGAATGAGTCTGATCAGATGGTGTTGCTCTGGGGACTCCAGCTGTGACATCATCGCTGTGAGGTTGCCTAGGTGACAGTGGATGGTATCTGGTTGTCTGGGGTAGACTGAGGGCAACACTCGTAACAGCATGTGGTTACCTGTCAGAGAGAGCGACAGAGATGTCTTCAGTAAGCCTCACAGACAAAGTTTGAATATGGTGTCCACCATTTGGATATTGGAAAGGGTCGCCATAGAAAACACTAGTTAGACAGAGAAAAATATTCCGTGTTCAGAGTGAGGTCAGTAAGTGTGAACAGTAGAATTGTCTTATAAAAGGTAATAAATAAGAGCTTACATTTTGCCTCAAATAACCCCCACAATTGCAGTCTTTCCTCCCCTTTCAAAGGAAGAGCTTATTCAAACTCTGCTCGATAAAACTGTTCATGTGGCAAAATTGGCAGGAGAATACACAATATGAGACATGCTTTTAGGTACTACATAATATTTATGTTTTTATGGATTTCTATATACTGGAATAGTTTTTTTCCCAAACCTATTTCTCACTTTATATTTAGTATTAAATGTCACCAGTAACTAGTAGTATTTAATTCCATGCACTGTAAATCACTGCTTTGTTACATATTCTTTGTACTATAATGTATTATTAAGTTTACTCTATGTAGGTGCACTCAGCTGCCAGTTTATTAGGTACACCTCGATAAAACCAATGGAGACTAAAACAGTCCTGCAATAAATCCTACTTTAATGAATAATGTTCAGTTGTTGATGTTTAAGAGAGTTGTTAATTCAATCTTATGATCATTTTAAAGGCTGCAGTTTGCGGTGCTGTTAAACTGTATTGTGTTATACTGACAGGTGTTTCTAATATTTTGTCTACCCCATTGATGTCAATGATTGTTTACTAAATAACAAAAATGCCGCTCTCTATAATATAATACAGTTCAACAGCACCAAAACCCTAACTAGTTTTAGCTGAGTGTACATGTTTGGTTTCATAAAACTTGTACGACTGTCTGACTGCTTGTGTTGTGTTGACGCATTCCCAGATCTCAACAGTTAACTTGGTGACTATAATTTTATTACTACCAAGAGAATTGATGATGACTTGATTGATGAAACCAGCATTTTCATTTAAGCTGTTTGGGGTGTAGCAACATCATGCATATTTACTGTAACTGTTATTTTCTTTTCGATCCCCAGTCTTGATATGACATCTGTGCTCAGTAAATAAATCTTTCTCCATTTGTTGTCAATATTCCTTCAATGATGCTGATGCAGGAAAAAAGAAAGTCAGTGCTGACACATGAGTGGATGTAAAGGCATTTGTAAATCAGCACGCAGCCCAACGAAACCCACGCCATTACCAGACAGCCCTTGACTCACGTACACAACATCTTTAA